GTAGCATCCTCCCCAGAGCCACTCTTCAGACCGAGGCCCAGCCTCGCCCCCGCCAGGTCGTAGCCGATCATGGAGAGGAGGCAGAGCTTGAAAAGCGCCACCTCGGCGACCGCCTCCTCGCGCTCGTCCTTGGTCGCATTGCGAAAGGTGTACCAGGCGGCGAGGAAGGCGGCCGCCTCCTTGCGCGGCAGCGCCGCCTGCCGCAGCGCCGCCAGGCACCGCTCCACGAGGAAGGTGCTGGCGAGGGCGGGGAAGGCCACCCGCCAGTGGCGCCCCTCCTCGGTGGCCAGCGTCACGCGGCCCTCGATGGGGTCGCGCAGGGCGCTGATTCGCCCGTAGGCGGGGTACTGCTGAATGCTGAAAGGAGGCAACAGATTGGGCTTCGATTTCTGCTGCTGCTGCTGCTGCTGCTGCTGAAGGAGGTAATCACTGCTTCCATCCAACTGCAGCGTACTTCCCGAACAACTTCCCACCGATGCGTTGGAGGAGTTCAGCTGCTGCTGCTGCTGGGGGACAATGGGCGACGAGTGGGCGGTGGGAGGAAGGTGGTGCTGATTTCGTGAGGTATTGACAGTGGAGAGCAGCGAAAAGGAGAGAGAGCCGTCCGAGGGACTTTCCCCAGCAGCTACTGGAGCAGAGGAGGAGAAGAAGTTGCGAAAGTTGGGCGACATGGCCGCCAGGCTGTCGTTCAGCAGCGGTGGAACTGGCGAAGAAGGTATCACACCACCGCCGACACCGCCGCCCATCATCAGCGTCGGCTGGAGGTGGACGATGGCCACCCGTTCGGTGCCCGAGTAGAGCAGCAGCGAACCGGTGTCGTCGAGCAGCAGCAGCATGTTCAGCGCCGGCAGCGGCTGGGCGTCCTTCACGCCGGCGATGCGCGTCGTGCTGCCGAAGAGGTAGCGCGGCTGACGCGGCTGAGTCGGACAGTCATCGTCATCCTCACCTTCATCATCTGGCTTCTCCTCCAGGAGGACCTCAAACTTGATCAACCGAAGAACAGTGGTGGTGGTGGTCGATTGTGGTGATGGTGATGAGGTGACGACGGGCGTGGCAGAACTGCCATTACCATTTCCTCCTCCTCCGCCTTCAACAACTAAAAGTGCTAGGTAGTTCTGGCCGAGCAGGTCCACGGTGGCAAAGACCTTGGTGGCGGGGGCGGCGGCGGCTGCTGCTGAGTTACTATTGCCCGCCGTCTCCGACCAGACGTAGTCGAGCGTAAACTCGGCAATGATCGGCTCGCTGTACTTCCGTGCGTACAGCAGGTCATCGTACAGTGCCCCGCCTCGCTCCACAGAGGGCGTGTTCGTGGCGGCAGTGGCAGAGGCGGCGGCAGTGCTGCTGCTGTTGAGGACCATCGGAGAGGGCGTTCCACTCAGCCCTAGTAGTCCCTTGGTGACGCTGCGAGATCGGCTTCTCTGGGTAGTGCCACTACCACTGCCACCCACGGCCAAGTCCACGTCCGTTTCCATCAAACGGCTCGTAGAAGTAGAGTAGTGGTGGTGGTGCTGACTGGTGGAAGGCAGGCGAAAGGAGCTGGCGCTGGGCGAGAGGGGCGAGTCGAGGCGGCTGCTGAGCAGGGTGGTCAGCTTTGAGGTGGACGGAGAGAGGATACCGCCCCCTCTTCCTCTTTTTGTACGCTCCGAATGTTCTAGACCTCCTGAAGAAGCCCCTGAAGAGAGAGCGTTGGCAGAGCTGTGCCGACCACCACCGCCACTTCGGCCACTGCCACTACCACTGTTGAGCGGTGAGTTGATGCCTGTGGTGGTGGCGTTCCTCGGCGACGAGAGACGACCTCCCTGAATGCCACCAGCAGAGGCGGTGGACTGAGTGCCACTACTACCACCATTGCCACTTCCCAGATTGCCCAGCAAAGTGCTGCTCATGCTTCGGGTGATGGGCGAGGAGGAGGCCAGTCCGCCGGAGGGATAGGAAAGGCGACAGCGCTTCTTCGTCAGCTCACCGTTGGAGATTGGAGTGCTGATCAGGTGGTGGTGAGGGTGATGGGGGTGAGTGGGAGGAGGGGGAGGAGGGTGAGGGTGATTAAGCGAGCTGAGCAGCTGTCCGGCAGAGTCGTTGAGCGACTTGATGTTGCTGATGCTGTTGCTGCTGAACGGTCCTGAATGATGAGGTCCCGGGTGGTGGTCGACGTCCATTGGAACTCCTCCACCAGCAGACTGGGGCGTCTGCAGGGGGTGAGGATGGCTTTGGCTGGCAAACTGTTCAGCCACCGTGGAGGCACTGTACATCGGCTTCTCCAGGTCCTGGCGAATCCAGTCCAGCTCGGCGCCATTCACCGGGCGCAGGTAGAAGATGCTGTGCAGGCCGGTGGCGGTGCAGTAGAAGACGGCAAAGTGCCGCTCCACGATGAAGTCGACGAGGACAAAGTCCTGCTGGCTGGTGATGTAGCCGATGTTCGGTTGGGGACAGGAGTTTAGAGTGGCTGTTTTGCCGCTGTAGTTGGCCACCAGCGCCGGCANACGAGGACAAAGTCCTGCTGGCTGGTGATGTAGCCGATGTTCGGTTGGGGGCAGGAGTTCAGAGTGGCTGTTTTGCCGCTGTAGTTGGCCACCAGCGCCGGCACAATCTCATTGAGCGGATTAGAGAGCGTAAAGATGAGCGGATAGGGCGGCGGCGCTGCGGCAGCGCAGCCGAGCTGGTTGTGATCATCCTGCAGGCGCTCACTGTCGCGAATCTCCCGCTCCAGCAGCAGGCCAAAGGGCGTGGGCACCATCTTCTTGATCTAAAAGATACCAAAAAGAGGAGAAAATGGTTAGCAAAATTATCACCCAAACACCTAAAGAAGAAGAAGCACTCACCTTAAACTGCAGCGACTTTCGGTGGTGGTCGCCACTCTCCGTGAGCATGTGAATGGAGATCTTGTCGAGGACGCAGACGGCCTTGCTGCGCCTCAGCTGACGGGTGTAGAGGCTGTGAAGGTGGTGCTGTCGTTGCTGACTTTTCGAAGCTCCCTCCGAACTTTGCGGCGAGGCGAGTAGAAACTTTGGATACTGCGAGCCACCACCACCACCACAGCAGCCAATTTGCCCGCCGCCGCCGCCCTGTTTGTCGCCCTTGGCGCCCGGCGCCTTGAACATCAGCTTGGAGAGGTCCTGCGTGGCGATGCCATTGAGGTTGTCGTTGGTGATGAAGGCGCACCAGTTGGCGTCGAGGATGCGCTCGCTGAAGGTGAAGGTCTTGTCGAGGAGCGAGGTGCCGCCGCCGGACTGCTTGTAGCTGCAGACGACGGTGTTCTCGCTTACGTAGATCTCCTCCTCGCCCTTGGCGCACTGCCGTACTCGCCAAAACTCCCGGGAACGCTGTGGATGCTGCTGCTGCTGTTCCTCCTCCTCATCCTGGCTCGACATGGAGACGCCGTGGAGGGAGCGAAAGAGGTCTCGGGTGCTGTCAATCTCCGCCGCCGTGAAGTCATTGTGCAGGTGGTGGGCTAGCGTCAGGTGCAGGTCTTCCGCAGAGGCGAGGCTGCTTGAAGCTAGGCCAGCTGGGGATCGGTTGGCGGCGATGATGGTAGAAGAGCCACCGGTGATGCAGCCGACGCCGTTGACGCCGACACCACCACCGCCTCGGCTCTTGTGCTCCGGCACCGAGGAGACGATGCTCCGGCCAAAGGGCTCAAAGGTGGCAATCTCGCTGTCCAGTGAGATGACCATGTTTGAAAGGGGGTGAAGAAGAAGTAGTCTGTTGACAAGAAAGAGTCAGTGAGACTGAAACAACAAAAGGCAATACAAGCAAACAACAACTTACCACTTCTTCTTCGGTGGAAGAAACTCTTCAAACAAGTCCTAGAGTAATAAACAGGGTGTTTACCAAACTGTCAACAAATGTCTTAAGAATATCTTTCAAAGATCTTAGTCAACAAAACTTCAACCGACAGTGCGGCTGACTGACTAAAAAAGGCGCAAGAGAAAACAGTCGGCTTTTATGCGCGTGCTTGCGCCTCGGTGGGGGCAGCACTGTCCCACTGCACAACACTTTTCAGTAGAGTCACTGAGTCAGTGAAAAACCTCCAAAATCATCAGCACCACACAAGCGCAACACTGCAAAAATAGAAATTCCACATTTGAATCCTCAAAGATTTCAAAATCTTAAACACTCAAAAATTAAAAAACCGAATGTTATTGATAGTGGTAGAGGTGGAGGAGGAGGAAACGGAGAGTAAAAGAATGTTACAATAATTATCATCAACTTAAACAGAACGTATCCAATAGTCCGCTTCACATCATCATCATCGTCGTGATTGCAAAGAATAATTAAAAACAGTAAAGGAGGAGGGAGAGGGGCGTCCGAGGAGCGCGAGCTGTAGAACAGACAAACAACACACTACACGGAAGAGTAACAGAAGAAGAAGAAGAAGGGGAGAGTTGGTGTGTACAAGAGTAAAATAGTGTTGGTAAAGGAGGAGGAGTATACAGTGGGAAAATCAGGAGGAAGAGGAATCATCAAACAACATCAACAACATTACAGGAGAGCTTCAGAGTAACACATACAATTAAAAAAGGGAGATTAGAAGAGGCGAGGCTGTGGCTGTGGTCATCATCACCATCAGTCTCTTCGGGCAGAGGAGGCCTGTCGCCTAATGAGCGTGGCGCCGGCGGTGGCGTTGCCGCCCGAGGTAGGTGTTGAGGAGGCCGCAGAGGACAGCGTCCGCGAAAGCAGTGGCCTGGAGGCGGCGGCGGCAGCGGTGGCCGAAGCGGTGCTATTTCCACCGCCCACGCCTCCTCCTCCCCCGGCGGCCACATTTGAGGCGACATTGCTGATCAGCGAGGTGGTCTGCGAGCGAAGGGCCGTCTGCATTTGATCCATTGACTAGAATGTGCGGAAATGGTGGGGGTGGAAATAGAAAAGAAAAATAGAAAAGGGGTTCATCAAAACTCTGCGCTTGAACTGAAAGTTATAATGGCGGATAAAGAGAGCTGGAGCTTGCAACTAATAAAGAGTAATAATAGTAAACTGAAGCGAATCATTCAAAGATGAAGCTCCTAAGGATGTTCGACAGTCTTGCGACGATTCTTCAGCGTAGGAGTTGTGGAAGGTTTTCCACTACCANTCTGCATTTGATCCATTGACTAGAATGTGCGGAAATGGTGGGGGTGGAAATAGAAAAGAAAAATAGAAAAGGGGTTCATCAAAACTCTGCGCTTGAACTGAAAGTTATAATGGCGGATAAAGAGAGCTGGAGCTTGCAACTAATAAAGAGTAATAATAGTAAACTGAAGCGAATCATTCAAAGATGAAGCTCCTAAGGATGTTCGACAGTCTTGCGACGATTCTTCAGCGTAGGAGTTGTGGAAGGTTTTCCACTACCATCAGCAGTTCCTGGTGCCGTAGAGAGGGGAGCGACCACCACCGCCACAGTCCCTTCCTTATCAACGGCCTCACTACCACCACCTCCACCTCCGCCATTCTGGAGAAAGCACCTGACAAAGATGATACTTACAAAGAGCCAGACGACCTCGGCGTAGTGGTCCACGAAGGTGATAAACTCGGGGTAGTTGCCGGTGTAGCGGCCAACGACGTAGGCGATCATCAGGCCCAGGTCGACGGTGCCCAGCGTGAAGAAGCCATTGCTGATGCGCTCCATGCCGAGAATCTCGAGGAAGCGCGAGGTGAGCAGGCAGATGAAGCAGGCGAAGAGCATGATCAGCGGAGTGCCGAACAGACTGATGCAAAGAGAGGAGTTAGCACTTATTTTCTAAACGCAAATCATATGCCCCAAACAAATACACTCACCCAAAGACATTCTTGCTGCGATTCTGAATGGCAAAGTGCTCAAAGGAGGTGTTCAGCTCCTCCTCGAGCTTGTTGCGGTAGCCGGTGCTGAACTCTGTGCCGCCCATCTTCGGAATCTGGTCGAACTGGTCCATGCAGCTGGCCATCACCTCGCCGTGCTTCGCCTCCAGGTGGGCGGGGTTGATGAAGGGCTGAGCGCCGCCGCAGATCTTCTCCATCTCCACCACGTAGACGTCCTTGATGATGGCCACGGCGGTGAGGTTGTTCGCTTCGGCCGTCGCCTCGAGCATCGTCTTCGGCTCGGGCATCGTGTCGCCTGAGAAACAGTTTCGATTAGAAGTTATAAGGTTCTCATCACCTTCACCCCCTCTCCCCACTTACCAGCAAAGACATTAATGTACACCTTAAAGTACTCGAGCAGCTCCCGCCCGGAGACGTACCGGCCGCCAATCTCCTTGGGAATGAGCTTCCCGGGGGCGAGCAGGTCGGGCACAAAGGTCTTCAGGTTGTCGCGAAAGTCCGGGTCGTAGTCGACCGTTCGGCCGTCAAACTGCGGACTGGTGGCCACCCGACTGCCCGGGTGGGGCATGAGGAAGCAGCCAATCTCGCGGAAGCACTGCTTGATCTTGCGGCGGACGCGCTGCAGCTGCTCGGGCATCGTCTCCTTCAGCTCCAGCTTCTTCTCCAGCAGGCGGGCGCCGCCCTCGAAGCCGTACGGGTGCTCGTAGGGGTAGGACCAGTCGCGAATGAGGAAGATCAGCTTCTGAAAGGGCTTCTCGTGGACCGATTCGAGGGCGAGGCGGCCGTACTCGAGGAAGATCTCCAGCACCTGCAGGTTGTCCTCCTGCAGGTTGTGCATCAGGTTGAACACTGGGGTGGGTGGAAATAGGCGTGGGAAAAGGTGGTTAGCGGAAAAATGTAAACAAAGGGCTAACACTCTCTTACCCTGAATGGAGGAGGTCATGGTGGAGAGGGCAAAGACCGTGGCCGAGTCCTTCACCGTGTACTCGCTGTCAAAGGCGCCCTGGGTGTCCATGAGCACCACGGCCACATCGGTGCCGTCGTCCCGCTTGATGACAAAGGGCTCGCTCCACATGAGGATGCCGGTGGTGTCGCGGGCGCAGCCGCCCCGCCAGCTGAAGCCCTTCAGCGGGGCGCTCGGGTCGGCGAGCCAGTCGGCGGTGCCGCAGCCGGCCTGCAGGTACCGCAGAAAGTGGTTCAGCATGAAGGACTTGCCTAAAGAGGAAAAGATAAAAGAAAGGAAAAGAGATAGACATTAGTAGGGGGAAATCGAAACCGCCGGTCATTAGGCAAGCAGGCAAACAAACAATAAAAGCATCAAGCAGCCAACTGCCAGCAGCCTGACACCTCAGTCTTCCTCCTGACTGACATTTACAATATACCTCTAATACCACCACCAAAGACAAACACACACACTTCTAATCTCCCAGCTAATTGAAACCTATCAGGTGCACCAGAGGAGTAGTGGCAGACAAAACAAATGTCATCAGAAGATGACGGCGGTGAGCAAACAATCAAATCAAACAGCAACAACAACAAAGCTAACCTTTGCCTGCAAATTAGCAAGCTAATGAGGGGCTCTTTGTTCACCCTAAACCTTTGCCCCTTCTCCATCTGACACGGTCAATTACCACCACCACCACCGTCAGCGGATGTTGTACAGCTGCTGCCCCGTACAAATGCCAGCTCTTTGTACGACTACGACATTTTCTTTCCCTTTCCAGCACCGGCCAATGCACCTGTCTGCCTGCACAATATGTTCACAGTACCGTGACGGTTTATTGTGCACACACACTCACACTAGAAAACAGGCGCACATTAAGGGGGGACTGCGCGCATTTAGAAAATTTTTTCGAATTTTTAGT